ATAAAATGTATATATGTTAGGGTCGGCCTTGTATATGTGTTGTTGTGAGGATTAAATGGGATCATGCTCAGTAAAATGCCCAGGCACTGCCAGTACCCCAATAGGCATGTGAAAATGACCCTCATTATAGTAACTAATTATCCTTTTTTAGACAGATTTTATATATCTTTACTTTAGACAATTGCAGTAATGACTAATTTTTGACATAACAGTCTCCAGAAATTCAGACATGTTCTGACCTTGGTTAACCAAAATATCAACTGTGACACAGATCTATGGAGATTGGGACAAGAAAACTCCCAAATTCTGTTTCTGGAATCTTTTTATTTATTTCCACCAAGGTAAAGAGACCCGGAAATGTTGAAGTAGAGGTAACTATTAGGACTGATATACTAGGACTTGTCAGGTAATTAATAGGCTAAATACATAGTCCTTAACAATAACAACTACTTCTCTTGTATATTGATGACTTATAGTTTTAAAAGAGAATATTTCCAGTTTTGGGAAATGAAAAAAGTTTGTAGTCAGACAGACGTGAGTTTCAAGTCAGACTTTATGACTTATCAATTTCTTCAGTTTATGTTCTTTAAAAAATGGAGATAATAATACTTCAGCAAATTTAAAGGGTTACTGAGTGGGTTAAATACATATATAGTTTTGCATAGGACCAACTGATACATCATGAATTCTCCATAAAAACAAACAAACAAACAATAGTTTATTTTCTTGGAAATGATTTAAAAGGGACAAACTGAATTTAATAAGAAAGATAGTAAGGTCACATGAGGAGGAAGAGCTGGACTGGAAGACAGCTTGGATGCTTAATTTGAGAAGATCGTTTACCTTTACTCATTCTCGGTTTCCACATCTGTACAATGGGGACAGTGCTTTTCATCCTACTTGCCTCAAAGGGTTGACGTTAAAAAAGAAAATCCACTAATGTCTGTAAAAGGACTTTTAAAATCATATGCATTTGTGAATAAAAAAGGGGCTCTGTAATAAATCTTAACAAAAGTAATCTCAAAGGGTGATCTTATCATAAATTTCTAGCTGGGAAGATCATGTGAGTAGTCAAGCCTCGGGCCTATAAAAGGTTTATCTTTACTTTAAGCAAGCCCTGTTCAATGTTTTTGTGTATCTAGGTTAACACACTTTTGAAATACCTCTTTTTCAAACCCCTTGGAAGTGTAACCACCCTCAAGAGAGCACATAATCTTGTTAACTAAAATGTAATCCAATCGTAGAGATTTCGCTTCCTTGCTTTCTCCCATGTTCATGCAATCTCCCTTACACTCCCACCTGAAGTTCAAATGTACTGCAAATTGTCATTCTGGGAAGCATTTTTCTCAGTTTGTTGAGATCTTACTTCCAGATGTGTGCCCTGTTTGCCTCAAATAAACTATAATAAACTCTTATAAATATATTCTACAGGTTTGGACAGTCTTACATTGATATATCAACGTTTTGCTTTCAGTAATGGTGGGGTTGACAGCCTCCAGGAAAGAAAAATAAAAACAAGGTAAATAAAATAATTTTTAAAAATATATTTGAAGATATCAGAGAATTACCAAGGAAGCGAAGGCTTCAGGAGTCAAGATCCAGTAGAGAAGAAAAATTTAGGAGAGCAAACTTAACATCCGATGCCTCTGTTTTCCCTTTAAAGGCATTTGCTGATTCTAAATCAGAAGCTGACAGGCTGAGAAGCTGAACAAATCTTCTGGCTCTCTCAGAGGGTGGAGGGAACAGAAGTTGACATTTAGGGTCTGTCAAGGAAGGGGGGCCTTAGCAAAACCCCCTGGCTTAAATCAGGACCCTTAAAGAGCGAAATTCTATGAGTAATAGCTGACAAGAAATAGATCCGCCTTCAGGAAGCCCAGCTCTGAGTCGGCCCAATACCTGATTGTATTAAAGTGATCTGTTCCTTACCTTAACTGCCTTCTGGAACAACAACTACAAAAAATCTGCTCTTTTGGAAGGTAACAACATTTAAAGCCACAAATTGTAAGACTTTTATACATAATGTATGGCATTTGAACAGCATAATTAGGCAAGCAAAAACACAGGAAGAAAATGGAAAAAACAAGACAATTTAAAAATCCACAAGGTATTCTGATACTGAAGTTAGACAAAAATCAGGACAAAGTACCTACTTGAAAATTTAATTAGAAGAGCATAACGACACTGCTAAATTAGTTGCCTTAAAATACAACCATTTTCTAAAACAAAACGAAACAAAACTCAGAAATTTACCCTTAAAGCAAACAACCTCATGCCTTGTCTACTTAAAAAGTTCAATGAATATCTAAGAGTTGTGCTGGATCAAGCAGATTGAACAGAAAACCTCTGGAGCTTTCTTTTCCACATATCATAATTTCGTAGTTTTTTTTTTCTTTTTCTTAGACACACATCAAAAATCATTGATTTTATTCCAAAAATTTTAATAAATTGTTTTGTACAATTTACTATTTAGATTCTACATTGAATGGCAGATTCCACTTGGATTTTTACTATGTTTAGTTTTGTTAGAAGCACCATAGAATAGATCTTTTGCTAATAAAAGACAACCATTTTGACTATAATGTACTAACATGATTATCTTTTCATCAACTGCTCCATTAGTTCATTCATTAGATACTATTAAGGTCATCATTAGATCACAAATGAATTTTTATCGTCACAATTAAATAAATTTGGTTTTTGACCTAAGTAAGAAAAAAGAAAGTATATTATGATTTTTAATTCAGCAAGAAAGCAATACATGGATAATAATACAGGATATAGTTTCAGCTTGATATAATTTTAAAGATAACTATAAAATCAAGTAACATAATGGAGAAACCAAGTTTATCTCATATATGGCAACAGATAGGTAAACAATAACATTCAAGGGGAAAAGTCTATTGTCTAAAATCACTAAGAGTTTATAGAGTGGTTGAGTGCTTTACTGGCTGTCTGCCATTTTTTAGATGTCTTCTGTTAAATCTGAATGTTTCATCCATTTTCTCTGTAAATGAAATTTACCAACAACATTTAGTTTTTTGTTTTTATCTAGAGATGAATGAACTCTATTCCATCAAATCAACGAGACTCCAAGATGAGAAAAGCAGAATTCTTTTGTGAAAGAAAGGTTGGAAAAAAGGGAAGGAAAGAGACTCTTGATTTCAACATAATATGAACAAATAAAGATATGCAGGTAAATAGTTAAGTATTATTGGTAGATAATAGCTTCAGTGTGACATTCCTGTCCTGCAATTATTTACAATTAAAGAACATGAGATTTCTTTCTGATAGACCATAATTAGCAGAGAAATATGTAAGTTCTCCTTTGAGAGACATCATGACTATAAAGCCAGAAGATCTAACTATAAATGGACTCAAAATGTACCAAAAGAAGGAATATGCTCATGGAAGAGTTAACTAAAGAGGTGTTGAAAAAGAACTACTATTAGCAATTTGGGGCAGCATTCAAATAAGTCCAGAAGAGTCTTGATTAAACACATGAGAACATGATGGTGTTAGAACAAGACTATCTTTACATAGTCAGAGTGATCAGACTGTCTCAGATTAGAGACCGTGTGGATCAGAGTGTCTCAGCTTCCTTAATATCACAAACTGCTCAAATTTGTTCTGAGGCTCAGAGAAGTTAAGCAAATCACTGTAGGTTAGTTATTTGTCCCTTAAGTCAGTATTTAGAACTGTGAGTCAGACTATCAGCCAAATGACACAAGAAGTATGTTTTTAGGCTACTGATGCTCACTTCCCTCAATTGATTCATTTATTTGCACAGAATAAATATAGTTAAGATGTTAACAATCTTTAAAAAGTCTTGTAATTCATGTAAGTTATTCTTCAACATATATAAGAACAAAATAATATATCTGTTGAAGATACATACATAGCTCCAATTAAGTTGTGCCAGTTTGCTCCTTTCTACCTGAAGATCCACGTCTGCTGTAGATAGCATTAAAAACAGAACCTTTGAAAACCAATATGAGTACTTTGGAAAGCTCTCGAAGAGGCAGCAAATTTAACTGGGTGGAGTCGGGGTAGGAAGTCAGGAAAGAAGTGTCCCTCTCCCAACATTCTAAACCTACCCGCTTTAAATATCTTTCTTCTCAGAGTCCATTCATTATAGCGGTTGTTCATTCGTTCGGCAAATATTTATTGAGAATTTATTGTGCTCCAGGCCCACTTCTTCCTTAGTTCATTCTTTAACCAACAAGATCTTTACATCAATGCACAACTTCTTACCATGTCTCATATATACCCACTTAGTCTCTTTGACTTTTTCCAATTCCGTTCTTTTTTTTGATAACTCCAATGAGCACAGCAACAGGCTCCAAAGAGCCCATCAGGGTAAACAGGAGATTCTTCTGAGAAGACGAGGAAGGTAGGAAAGCTATGAAAATTTAAAACTTGTGTCTCGTGTACAAACGTTTTCCTTTTATGCTCCACTAGATTTCTAGGCACACTCCCTGCCTTACTTAAACTTCTACCTTGAGTGATGAAACATAAACAGACAACTAAATTGGCTATAATTTGATATAACAGACCATGTTTCAATCTGTAACTTGGAACTCTTTACATGGCCTAAAGAGAGAAAATAGGCCTAAAAATAATCATTTGAAGAGTATTGATTTTTATGGGCTTTTGGATCATAATAGAGAATACTATTATAATACATGTTTAACTTTCTATAATATTCATCAAATATTTTCCTCACAAAAAATTCTCATAAATCTTACTATTTCGTTTAGTTTTAGTATGACTTCAGAAATTTCTTTTATTGGGAAAGTAAATGCAAAAGTAAATAGATATGATATTTCTCTTTTTAATCACTAAGCATATCAAATTTTCGTCTACTCATGTCTTACCAAATATCACTCAGTTGAATTTATCAACTGGTATAATGTGTCATCATGAAAAATTTCAGGGTAAATTTCTCTTTTGGTGACTGGAAGCAAAACCTTTTTGTGGTTAGATTTCCAGGACCAACTCACCTGTCAAACAGTTCTCCTCCTGTGACAAGTTCTAGGACCAGACTGATTTCTGTAGGGGTTTCAAATATCTCTTTAAGTTTTATCTGGGGAAAGACATAAAAAAAAAAAAATCACAGATTCCTTATTTTCATCTTTCAAGGAAATAGCTAAAACTATGGCTAAAACAAATCTTTGTAACAATAATATGTTGGATCATTGTTGATAAAGATTCCGCATTCTTGTATCAAGCAGCCAGACATTTGTCACTCTCTGGTTGTTTTATCAGTTACCTCATTTCTTCAAGGGTCCTTTTGAGTTTTTACATTTTTCCCTTTGACAGTTAAAAGACACTTTTTTGTCAATATATCTCAATTTCTGAATCGCTCCAGAATTTAAAAACGAAAGCAAGCAAATCAAACTTCCCTAACCATTCGAAAGCATCATGGTTGCTGGAGATGCAAACGCCTTTTTCACCTGGGATGAAACGTGGAATTAAGAGTGTGAGACAGAACAGGATCAGGTTACCAGGTTAAAGTCTATATTTATGGAAAGGAGAGTTCTCAACAGCTAAAAAGTTGCTGGTGGATGAAGACATCTTCAGAAAAATAGTGGTGGTAGAGATTTAATTGACCATCCAGGGTTTTTAACACATTCAGATAACTCATACAATTTTGGATATTTTCCGCAATATATCTAAGAAGCTAGTGACTAAGACTAATCTACATTTGAGGAAAATTCTACATTAATTTCTCTTTGAAAAAAAAAAGATGGATAATATAAAAGTAGTGATCGTATGTGACAAATTTTGTTAGTTGCTTACCCCAAATCCTTCTCCCCTCTACCTTGCTGCAAACAGAACTCTGATTTTGTTTAGAGAAGCACGGTGCCTAGCTTCAAATTATGGATCAGAATTGTTCTGAGCCACTTATGATAACCCTGTTCCTTGATTTCCCAGTCTCTGTGAAGTTAAGGGTGATCTTGTGACCAGCTCTGACCAATAAAATCTGAAGAGAATTCTATGCAGCTGGAAATTCTTTTCATCAGACTGCTGGTGAAGCCTTTCCACTTCTGTCTTGAATACAGACCTGAAGGCTTGTGAAGACTGTGGAGCGACCACTTTAGGACCATGAAGGGAAAACATGAAGGTGAAAGCACTAAGGATGGTAGAACCAGTGGATGGAAGGTATCTGGGTCCCGGATGACAGCACCGAGGAGCTGAACCAGTATTGGCAAAGCCCTGCCTTCTGATGTTTTATAACCTAAAGAAAATATTTCTTTAGACCACTATATTCAAGTTTTCTGTTATTTATAGCTGAATGCATTGCTAACTCACATATTAAGTTTTAAGATCTTTGCCTTGAGCCTAAGCATTGCAGGTCATTCTCCTGGACACCACAACTTTCTCAGAGAAACGAGTAAAATATTTTCTTTAAGTAGCTCAATTCATAAAAACAAGTTATGGCCTGGAAAATGATTTTGTTCTTTTCACTTCACTGGCTCAAGAAAGCTTTTCGACAGATCTTTTCCTCAGTGCCTTTGTCTGGACATAGCCTAGAGCAGAACTTCTGAGGACATTTCATTTTCCCCATTCAAGTACAGCATTTATTTGAATCTTCACATTGTTTCTGAAGCAGATACTCTCTCAAAGGAGCCTGAAATGACTTTGGAAAGCAATGCATTTTTTCCCCATAGGCTTTTTTTAGCAATGGCATATTAATATTATAGGCACATAGAAGGAAAAAGCCAGTGTTTTATTAGAGTGAAACAAAACTATCCAAAATTTAGCTACCCTTTTACGCATGGAAATAAAGATGGTATATATCGCTGATCTGTCCATTTTGAAACTCTTTCAAGCGATATTACATTTAAAATTTATTCAGCTAAAGAACTGAAAAGTGTGATCAGATGAAAACAAGAGCCTGGCCATGGTGGCTACTTACTGGTGGTGGAAGAATCACATTCTCATTCCCAGCATAGACAGTAAAAAACAAATATTTCATTCTGTAACTTTGGAGCTTATTTGAACTATTACGTAAAAAACCACTTACAATGTTTGGATGTGAGAGGCGAAGAAGAACTCCTATTTCAGTTCTTACGATTTTTTTGTCCACCTACAAAGCAAAATGAAAGAAACTGAAAGAAACTCCCAACTTAGAAATGTCTTAATTACAGTAGAGAATCAGAAACAGCAATAACCAGCTGGGCGAATCAGGTAATTGGCAGACGCTGATTCCTAAGCTTTTTTCTTGTGTTTCCTTTATTCCCTCACCCTCTTTTTTCAGTTGCATGTCTTTTCTCTCTGCTTCATACACAGAGTAGAACTAGTTACAAATATGGGTCACAACTTGTCAGATCCCTTGCATGGCCCTTTTTCTACAAAAGTCATTGCTGTTACCACTAAGGCACAAGTACATCTCAACCTATTCCTCCTCTTTCTCTTCCTTTCTTTTATAGATCTCCATCCCGAACCCACTGGAGCTGTCAATCACTTCACCTTTCTCACACAGCAGTGAGACCATAACCCAGCCTAACCAGAGTAGTCTGTTCCTTGGCCATGGTGATTGGGTCAGGGATACCCGCCAGACTCAAGTCATCCCAATCAGGGCCCTCCCTAGAAATTCTGGTCTACAACAAATAGATAAAAAAAAGAGAGATATTTTCTTTTGCTCTGAAATTGCGAGATGAAAAATTGTATGCCACTACCAGTGACCATTTTTTATGCCATATGGAGACCACTTTACTGAAAACAGAGCCAACACAGGAAATAACATTTCTGAGATGAAGAATAAGTCCTGTTGTCATAATGTAATGCATTGGATTCAGTTATGCATAAGCTAGTTTGCCCTTAAAACTTTCTTATTATGTGAGCCACTAAGTTTTTTTTTTTCTACTTAAGTCAGCCAGAATTAGTTTCTGTTGCTTGTCATTAAGGAATCCTAGTTGCTTCGTCACTTATGTTTGAAACAGTAACCATTTACTTTAGGATACTCCAAAATTAGGAGTGCTTTCCCCTCTCTGGGCCAATGACTGACTCTTTTAAGCACAGTGAGCTGGAGTTTCAGATCTCTAAAAGAGTCATATACTAAATAGAAGGGTTTTAATGTCCTCCTCTCCAAAGAGAACTCATCAAAGCGATATATGGATAATATCTACACTCTTACTGTGGGCATAACCAAGAGGCGGCTTCAAATAGAGAATGAATTCTACCATTTAAGTTACATGCCCTGAGGAATAAAAAGTGGGCCTGAAGAAAAAATCCAAAAAATCCAATCACGTTTCAATGCTTATAACCAAACACAACTTTCAAGATGATAACAAACAGCATTCCTTCAAATTTTATTTTCTAACAAAAACATTAACAAACAAGGATATATTCTTTGCAAATAAAGAAGAAATATTCAAGGGAATTTTACAAATTTTATATGTTCTTTTGCAACATATATTTCTTTTTTTTTTTCTGGCAAATATATTTTGCCAGAGCCTGGAGTATCTTACTTGAAGGGAATAGTCGCCATTTATAAATGTCTTTAGTTTCTAAGAAAACATGTTTACAGGAAATTGTTAAAGAGTTCCCATTCCAATAAGATGTTTTCCAAGTGTTTCGTATTTCACCACTGTCCATAATAAAACATTAAATAGTCATACGGTCATGCTAAGGGCTCTTAAATTATAATAAAAGTTTTGGCCATTCAAATGGTCAATTAGGAGGCTCAGGGTGTTTTAATATATTTTGCCAAAGAAAATTAAAGTATTAAAATCAATTCACAATACTGCAAAACAAAAATGTATTCTACTTATGTTGAATGGATGCCAGTCTGTGCAACTCAGCATATTCCTGGAAATATTAATTAATATCCCATATAAAAATGCAGCATCGGTTATAAATTTTGAGTAAAAAGAGGAGGTGAAGATATGATCTATGCATTTTAATACCTGAAAACTGTTATGAGGCAGTTATACGAGACAGAGGATTCACTGTGTACGAAGAAAAACAAGTTGATAAGAAGTAACCAAGTGACGGTATAACAAATGGATAGGCTCTGGGGCTTGAACAGTGAAGGAATAAAGGAAGGCATACGTCTTGGTACACCCAGTGCTTTATGATTCAAGAACTTTGGAAGCTGCTCCACTAGCATGTACCAGACACTAAGCCATAGCACAAATCAAGCTATTTATCGATTAAAACGTTTTCAGTCACAAGTTAGCACTCAGCTCAAACTCACTTAAGTCAAAAAGGTAACTTATTAGCAAATGTAAATGGGAAGTCTGAGGAAATGTATCTTCAGACATAGCTAAATCCAGGGGTTCTGATTCAAACGATGAAGTGTGTCCCTCTCCCTCTCTCCTTTCCAAATGGCAGGAAACATGGTCACCAGAATTTTATATTTTTCAGTTTCAAAGTGAAAGAAGAAAAGAGATTCTCTCTCCTCACATGTACATATCTAACCTCAAGGTAGTAGCCTCCATGGCCTTGCTTGTTTCTTGTGCTTGTAAAGGAGTGTATGTACTGTTAATTTTCTGGAGCAGTAGTTCTCAAACTTTTGAACTTTAGGAACCCTTTATACCCTTCAAATTATTGAGAATCCCAAATAGCTATACACATTTACTGTATTTGAGATTAAAACAGAATTTTTAAAAGCACTTATTAATTTAAAACATAACACTAATAAACTCGTAATACTTGAACATAAATAATATTTTCTGTAAAAAAGAACTATATTTTCCAAAATTAAAAAATACACATATTCCTGTGCTGGGGCTGAGAAAGTTGAGGAAAGGAAGTGAGGAACAATTTAAAATATGTGAGAAAGAAAGTAATGACGTAAACTTAAGGAAAGAAAAGGAAAGCCAGTTTCTGCACTGTGGAAACGATGGATGGAAACAGAGGTGGAGAATGAACTGGAAAAAAGGAGAAAAGTGAAAACTGTAGAATTGAGCCACTTAACTATTTTCATTGAGACCTAGATCCAGACTCTGCCGCTTCTAATACTCTTGGCAGGTTGGGGTGACCTATATGAGTAGAGATTTCTGCTCTACTTCTCTGATTCAGTCAAGTTCAATAGTATTCCACATAAAATGCTCAGCCTCATCTCATTTTCTTTGCAGGCTTTGGAACTGTAAGTCCTGTTTTTTCTCTCTATTCTTTCTCTAGCTTTTTAGGCTCGTTTTTAGTTTTAACAATGACCAGAGAGCATAATACAAAATATCGAACTGCACTACTCAAATGCTTTGTGGAAAAAGCAAAATATAAAGTATTCATGGATAAACAGACACGTCTTTAAATTTTCACAAGCATAACCTCTGCTTAATTTAGCATCTTGTTTTCTGACATATCAACAAGTACGTGTTGTCACTAACATGCTTGGTGAAAAAACTTGACAGCTGGAGCTTTGTTAAATTTAAGAATGATAGTTTTAGCATACAAGATTTGAAAGTTAAGAACTGCTATTTGAACTTGCAAAAATCAAATGTGGGACACATAAAAAACATTAAAGTTTTTCCTACATGAGGCCGGTATCTCCAATAACTATAGAATTTTAGTCAAGTCTGATTATTTCCTTTATCTTTTTGATCTAACAGAAACCTGGGCATCTCTTGACTACTTTACTTCTTTCATAGTCTTCTCAAGTGATGACTTGTTTTTGTCTCAGTAGGAAACACACCACAGGGCCTGGAAGGGGGTTTCTTTCAAGTTCTTCATTACTGTATCCAATTTCTCCTCCCTCGTCCTTCCAAAATTCCAGCTGCTTTGAAAGATCTGCTATCAGCCAACACAACCTGCAACTTCTCCTTGTAGTCATCCTCCTATCTCCTTATCACTCTTCCTATACTAAACATTTTAGCATCTTTTAGCAACTTTATCTCAACCACTGATCTTATCATCACTCTTAACTACTTCAGTTTTCACATGGACTATACTTTCAACATCTTTGTCTCTCAGTTTCTTCACTATTTCCTTAATTCTAACAATCTCTTCCCCCAGTCCTCCTTAGTAACCTATGCCCATGGTCACATCCTAGGCCTTATCATTAATCAATTGCATCATTTAAAAAATATCGATTTCAAACATCACACTCTCTGTCACTTTGCTCTGGCTAAACTGGCCTTATCTCTTTAGCTTTACTGAGCTTAGATTCCATGGTCCATGCATGACCCGTTAGTATAAGCAATGACCTGTACATCCCCGCAACTCCCTTGCTCTTATCTTCTTCCGTTACTCTTGCCAGGCAACCCTTCATTTAGTTAACTCTACTCGTCTCTTACTCCACGTCTGTGCCTGAACTGAAGTGGTTAGAAGAAAATATACAATCATATTGACTAGTCTCATTTTAAATTTATGACCACAAATCTCAAGAAGCCCCCAGCTCCCTCACTCTACAATAAAACATTTTACACTTTCTCCCTCACACTTCCAGTATTACCTCCTCTTGTCTCCTATCACAGACTTGCTTCTAATTCCTGAGAAGGTAGAAACAACTCAAAGAGAACACAATTTTCTTACTACCCCATCTATCAATCTATATACAACCTGTACCAAATTAACTTCATCCATTTATTCTGCAAAAAATTTTAAGCATCTGCTTTATAAAGATACTATTCTGGGCATGAGGATACAACAATGAACAAAATAGATAAACTTCCTAAGAAATTCATGCCCTAAGAAGCTTATGTTCTAGTGAAGACAGAAAATGAACAAATAAATAAAGGTCCAGAGTTGATAAGTACTAAAGAAGAAGAAAAAAAAAAACTGAAGTAAGGGATATAGGATGATGAGGGTGCTATTTGAGATGGATAGTAGAGAAAGGTCTCAATCATAAGGTCACATGGGACAAAGCCACTTGGATCTGAGGGAGGAGTGTTTCAGAGAGGGAAATAGTGAATACAAAGCCCCTCAACTATGGGTGGGGCTTGGAGCGATGGAATGACAGCTAGGAGGCCAGTTTAGCCAGAGCAAAGTGACAGAGGAGGAAAGTAGTAGATGAAGACAGAGGTTTTTCACAACCAGAAGTCAGGTCATGAAGAGTCATGTTGAACGTGGTAAAAAATTTGATATTTTAGTATGAGAGAGTTCAGACACAACTGGAAGGTTCTGAGAGAGAAATGGCATGAC